TATGAGACAACCAATTAATTTTCGACCCTACTCCACTCCTTGTCCGTTCACGATTTACTGATTCAGAAACTTTTAATTATGTAACAGGTGTCTTAGGATTACGCCAATGTTAGCGTTCCGTTCGCTAAACTTGGCGTAATATACGCCGTGTGGAGTTACACTAAATTAAGTTTCGTATTTTATTTTTGTTTTACTTGCCTGGAGTCGATTCGACTGCTTTATTGTTGCAAAGTGTTTTGTAATACACAGTACAAAATACCAGAGCTTTTATTAAGGAGGGAAAATCATCGAATTACTTCTCCCGCCTGGGTGAGGCGGGAGGGAGTGTCAGAATCTTACGGACTAAAAACCACCCCGTTCCTGCACTTCGAGCCGGAGCCCCGGTAACCCGTTAGGTTCTCCGCGGCTCCGTATCAGCCCTATTGGGGCCCATCCGTGGAGATCTGGTGGTTCTTTCAGGCGCCCGCGGAACGCGACGCGCCGTCCGCTCGGGTCTGGTTCTGGTCGGGCGGCGAGCCAACCATGCTCGCCGTCCGCAGGCCCGCGCCGGTTACGGTGGCCGGAGATCGTGACATACCGGAGTTAAAGTTTTTTTTTTCAAGTTTTAGATGTGTATCTGTGGGCTTGCCCCTGTATATGCAGTAAAACTGATAACGTGACTCATATTTTTTTAATAATCATCAATCCTTATAGACCGGGGTAGATAATCTTAGAGACGGAAACGTTGTTAAATAGTAGTAGAATGGAACCCATTGCATAGGGAAGAGAATTTGCCCTAAAATATGGTAAAATAATTATGGGCGAACTGAGGTCGGAAAAAGATGGGAAGGGATAGAAGAAAATTGAAAATTTAATGTTGTCTCAAACATTATCTGCACCAGTCTATTACTGATTTTAAACGCAAAGTGATAATTTGTTTATTTTTCTTTCGCGTTAAAATGGAACGAATTTATGCTACGATTTTAGCATCAAAGATAGTACGGAGACCGGAGTTTTTTCCTTTAAGCATGTGGATAAAGCCGGAGATGGAAAACTCATTTTATTTACTACCTCAAAAATACTAACATCATAAATTCCAAACCTCTAACTGCATATTATGAAATTCCTTCAGCTGTTTAACTATAAGTTACCAGGTAAATAGTTTATAGGTTAAAATGTCAGCTGAGACAAACATTCCGGAAATTCTGGAGCGAAATTCTCACGAACACACACGATCAAAGCTTAGTGTTAATTCTGGTTGTTTACAAATTATATATCGACAATAAAGCTTAAATAAAGTATCATTATCAAAGTATTATACTACGCGCCTCACATTTCTCAAATTGATAAAGGGTTTTTTATGGGAAAATTCGGTGAATGAGCAGATGAATCACCTGATGGTAAGCAATCGACGTCGTTCATGGACACCTAGAACACCAGAGGAGTTACAAGTCCGTAATCGGCCTTTTGGGGATTAGGAATTTGAGAATTGTTCAGTAAATAGTGCACTATACTGTGAGGTTAAAGAACTACGGTTCTTTTTCACGGTTCATTTTTACTGAATATATCTTGGGTTGTTTAGGTAGGTATTGATCCCAGCTTATCACCCCTCACAGTATGGTGCACTATTTACTGGACACCCTGTATGTGAGGGTTAATCATCCCTCAGTTTTCTATTAAGACATCCGCTTGAAGAGCAGCTGTGGTGCCAAATATAATTAACTCTGACATTACCAAATATTCAAAATGTGTTCAAAATTACCTAATATATGTATTTTACACAGAAGGTCGCCACTGGCCATATGCCTTTCGATGCTTTCAGCAGTAATTTACGTGAAACTTTCATATTATGATCGTTAGGAGATTCTGAGTATAAGGGATAATCTGATCTAAACCTTTAATACTAGAGTCTACATTTGAGATTATCAGATTACAGAGTGTCATTCATAAGCAATTAGTGACCATATTGTAACTAAAGGTTAGCAAGTCAATTTGTAGATTAGTGTATTATTTATTGTTGTATTTGAAATTTTGTCTTTTGCCGTAATGGCATCACCTCTATATCTCCTTAATTAAAATAACTAATTAGACAGTTTACTAACATTTCAAGGAAGAATGATTGATTAAATTTCCAGACTCCTCTATGTTGTCAAGGAAGTCTAAAACAATGATGATTTACTGCCGACACTGGAGTTGCATATCATTTTAAAAAAAATATATTTATTCTTACCGGCTCGAATATTACGATCAAGGTAATAAATAAAAGAATATACACCATCGACGACAACTCTATAACACGAATACTTCACACTTTTAGCAACAAATTGATATATCCTCAAAAACGACGAGAGCGCCCTCTACGCAAGGCAATACATCAACGAGTTCAATATAAACGTTTGGTCGTTTTACCGTGAACGTTGTAGCGTTCAAACAGTGTGTGCGCACCACTAGTCGAGCCAGTCACTCGTTAACAAAGGGCTGTGCGGTTTGCGAAACAAATTTTAAAGGTATGTGGTTTTTGAAGCCTGGAATTTTAGTTTTTTACAAACACGGAGGTAGTTAAAAGCTGTTTTATATTAGTTGTATCGTTAATAACTACAATAAAGAATTAAGTTAGCTATTATTACTGACAATTAGGACCTATAAACTTTTTGATCAATTATGTTGAAATTTTTAACCTTAACATCAGATCTTGGGTGACATTTTTGGCACTATCTCTGCTTAATCAAAAACGAAACACCTTGTCGATGACAAGAACATTGGCTTTTAAAAAAAAAAGACACGATAAAACACAAATTTAACTTGACCAACTTTAACCTAATTACAGCTGTGACATAAAACAAACCAATTAAGATCTTGCATTAATTTGAAACTCATGAACATCAACAGCAAAATTTTGGCAGTGTGTCAACCCTAACATCGAACTAGGTCGTGGGTAGTTTACTTTTGTGTGACAGCCCTGGAGTGTGTACTGTGTATACAGTGGAGAGGAGGCGTGGGCGATTTCGATCATAGGTACCCTTACGTATGGAGTAAAGGGAAAATATTTGGAGGATTCTGTACTGTGACATATGTGAGTGGGCTTACGTCATTGGCTGCCTGATTTTGTTTTGGTATTGATAGGATTTGTACACCTGTCAGTGATGCGAATGGCTTTGGAATCTTGAACTTTATACGTGGTTTAGTTTTATTTTTATGACTTTTATGTATATTACGTTAGCTTTATTTTATGTTTTCTTATTAACACTACATTCTGCATTACTATCACTACATAGTATAAAACAAAGTCGCTATCCGCCGTCTGTCTGTCCCTATGTATGCTTAGATCATTAAAATTACGAAACGGATTGTGATGCGGTTTTTTTTAATAAATATAGTGATTCTTAAGGAAGGATTATGTGTATAATACATGCATTTTGCACCCGTGCGAAGCCGGGGCGGGTCGCTAGTACCCAATAAACTATTTCCATCACAACTTTCAATACCACGTCACTACAAAGGAACATATTATAGCCATGGAACAGGTATTATTAATATAACAGGTATTTCCTGCGTTATAGTCCAAGTTGTACACGTGTTAGGAACAACTTTGACATGTGCATAGAAATCAGTTTCCGATCCGACGTCAACACATCTTTTATTCAAGGTTTTCAATATGATATGCATCTGTCTGTATTGGTTTGATGTTTTTTCACCAGCATTTTGCATTATTAGCTCAATACTAAGCATAATTTAAAAAAATGCATAAATGTCTATATAATTTTGTCGCAGGCATAGATGAGAAAGAAACGTCATCGTATATTGAGACGTCGTATTTTGTAACTATTTGAAAATCAATTTGCTTTTTATGTATTTTTGTTGTTTTTCGTTCCAATTAATAGCTTGTCCTGATTTTGTAATTTGATTTCGATGTTGACAATATAAGTGCATTGTAGTGGTTGCACTTTTTAATCTCCCTGCCTTTTGAGTTTCTAAAACCCGATGTAGTTAGAACCAATAAGTTTCTGACATCAAAAGTAAGGTAAAATCTTTTTATAATAACTATCGTGAGACATACTAAATTAACTCTACAGTAAAATCTATAATAGTTTATAAGTTTTCTAATAATATATTATCATTTCGCAGTTATCAGGAATCACTGCACCTACCTACGAAACGACCATTAACTCGTTGAGTACCGTCATTATAGACACAATTATAGAACAATAGGTTGCGGTCACCGGTGACGGCTTGGTATTTGACAGTTTAATATATATTCAATACAATTTATAGATTTACATCTGACAAAATAAAACTAAAATAAGAACACATTTCAACGACAATTCCTATTCAGTAGCTTCCTGAAACTTAAAGTATAAGTTAAAATTAAGTTACCACAAAACTTTCGAGCAATATTAAATGAAATTGAAGGCTTCGTGCCTGAAAACTTAGGGAACATGTTACTGAATCCTGTAATATTTTATCAGTTAGTCGGTAACTGAAACAAGACTCTTCCGGCGCTTTAAGTTACTTGTAAAACTTGATGAAATTGGCTGAATATGTAACAGATTGTTTAGGCGAATGTTTTACTTTTACTTTTCATGAAAATTTCAGATTATTTATTACTGTAATGACGAAACTGTCTACTTAGCTGGTAGAAGATTGCGGTTATCGAATAGGGGATTTGAAGTTCGATTTTTATGTTACTGCGTGGCTCGTTGGCCGAGTGATCGCAAGTCAGGCAATGTATTACTGGGTTTTTAAAAAATTCTCAGTAGTACCACGGAGTCCGAAATTGTGCCCGGTATATGGCAATAGGCTAACCCCCTATTACATGGGACTCATAACATAAATAGTGATAAGTGGCATTGTAGTGGCATAATGTGCACCTCTGCCTACCCCTTCAGTTTTTCCAAAATCAATGAAAAAACTAGTTCCATCTCCAAATTTTTCATCGAAAAATTAGTGAAGAATAGTATATATAACACACCTCATTGGTTTGAAGATTTCAGTATTTATTCAAAACAAATTCTCTTTCGCAGCATGTGGTCCCTGTGGCGCGCTTGGAGCGTGTTGGCGTGCGCTTGCGCAGTGGCGGCGCAGCGTATAGATCAGGACGCCATCATGTCGCCGCGTCCGGCCCGTCTGCGGGATATGCGGCAAGACACCAAGACCGACGAACCGACTTGCGATCAACTTAAGGCTATGTGGAGGTAAGCAGAGAATATAGTCTTTAAAAGATTTTTTACTAATAGAAGAATTTTCGTTTGATTGATAAAATCACTAAATTGTTGAAGATCCTTTGAGAAGTTATTGATAAAGAAAACTGATTTCAATCAAGAAAGTAGGTGATCACTTTCACCGTGGTATTGTGGAGATTTTTTTAAACTAACCAAAACCACAAATGTGGGAAATCTTATGAGTAAGATACTATACTACACAAGCCCTCTTATTGGCCAGTCACGTTATGACCTTCACAATCGGTAGAAAACTCAATGAATATACAAACATATATATTGTATACCTTTTAAGCGACCTTTACGCAAATATTAGCGGCAAACATTTTTCCAACATGGCAACCCCTACGCAGAAACTCAAACATGAAAGAATATCACAGTATCACAAATATTTGTGGCAACTCCACTCGATGTCCAAAACGATACTCGGAATTTCGGAAGGTCCAAACTTCGGCATGCCCTCAATAGGCCACCGGAATGCCGATAAAATATTATTTTGCTCCCATTTACATAATTGCCATTTCTCCCCTAGAATTCAGAATGATATCGGGTCTTACGTCAGATCGAAGATAAATTGACACGTCTAACCTGCACATCAAACTATACTCGACTGTTATTGATTTGGAACTTTATATCTTCGTAGATAAAGTCAAAATTTACTTGAACAGTTTCGTTTTGATACGTTCAGCTTGATCGTCAATCTATTAACTGTCAATTATTCTTTAATTAAATTGCAACTTCATAGTTTGGGCGATAAAGTTGAAAGTCGATTGAAATTATTAGACAGTTTGGGGTACTTTTATGTGCCTTTGTTTGATTTTAATAGTAATTGGTTTGGAGTAGTCTAATAAGCTAGGTTATTGGATACTGAATGGCCAATATTGAATGTCTGGTAGATTTAGAACGATTATATCTATATGAGTTTGGGATAATTTTGTAATAGTAATGTTGAACCATCTGGAGTGTATGTTACTGTGGGATTATCTGCATTATTAGCTATTGCCCGCGACTTCTTCCGCATACAATAATGACTTCTGGCAGAATTCATCAGAATCGATTCAGTGCCTAAGTGAGATTTATAGTGAATAAAGTGAAAGTGTTTAAAATGAATTTATCGAGATTACAGGTTTAACCTTTCGTGTGTCTAAACGTAGATCCACGAGGGACACAGTGTATTTCCTATTGTGTATCATATCGGAGCATTCAAGCAGTTAAGTTTAGTGATCAAGAGAGAGAGAGAGAGAGATAGAGTCCCGGGGCTTTAAGGCATAGTTCCAGTTAGTGAGGGCCGTCTGTAATAATAAAAACTATCGTACACATTGTTTCCCATGTATCAAACTACCGTTTTACCGAATTTAACTCAAAGAACTTCAATAATTCTAGATTGAATAGATTCAATGACTAAGAAGATTTATACAAACTCTCATTCCCTATTTTATCCCCTTAGTAGTGGAATTTATTAAACTGTCAAACACCAAGCGGTCACCGGTGACCGCAACCTATTGTTCTATAATTGTCGCGGAGAACCTAACGGGTAACCGGGGCTCCGGCTCGACGTGCAGGAGAAGGAACGGGGTGGTTTTTAGTCAGTAAGAGTCTGACACTCCCTTCCGCCTCACCCAGGCGGGAGCAGTCATTCGATGATTTTCACCCCTTAAAAAAAAATAAATTGTTCTATAATTGTGTCTATAATGACGGTATTCGACGAGTTAAAGTCCTTTCTTAGGAAATGCCTACGTCATAGTAGCTTTATGCATGCAAAATCATAACCCACTTTGTTGCTTCGCCGTAGGCGGCTAAAATATTTGTTAATAAATCGAACTAAAACTCTTAAGTAATACACATGAACAGCATTCCAATATGGAATTCCAGTCAAAAATAAATAGGTACTCAGCTTAGTTCAAGTCAAAATATTTTAATGCGAAATTCTTCCGAAAAACTTTTCGGACTCCAATCGTCAGAAAAGTTTTAAATGAGAAAATAACTTCACGTTCGGACATTAATTTATTATGTATTTTGACGTTTAGGAAAATATCGGCAAATATTTTTAAGTTAGACTTCCTCTCGAACTTACTTTCACTTCGGATTATTAAACAGTGACTCGGTAAAATACATAAATACCAATATGGTACCTTCCAAATGGAATCCAAAAAATAAAACCATGAACTACAATACTTTACTGTTTTAGGAATCAAGTGCCATCTAGTGGGCAGTTATAAACACAAACAATAAGACTACAAGAGTATTACAAAACATTGTAATTATCATTTTATTTCAAATTGGTTACAATTCACTTCTGTTAGGGTAAACATGTCACATTTTGACTACAAAACGATCGTTTTACAATAGATTACCATTTGGAAAAGTGCCCAAGAATAGTTCTACCAATGAAGACCCACTATTCTGTCGATAACGGTCGTCGAGTGCTTTAAAATGCACTTCTTCGTCGAAAATGGTGTCATTTTCAATATGCCAATCTTTTGTGCGATTTTTCTAACCTTACCTCTTACCTCTTAACCGCAGAACATATAAAGAAGGATGAAATACTTCAACGCCCCTCAATAGGGATGATGACAGGGTATGAAAATTAAAAATCTAATTAGTCCGTCAGTTAGGTAATGAAATAATATGAGACACGTATTTTTTTATTTTGTTGTATAATAAAATTATACCTAAATATCACGAATCAAAGTTTAGGAGTGGGGGCTAAAACGTCATTTCTACGTATAAAATGTGCATAGAAGTGACGTCACGCGACATTTCAAATCAATATATGTTCGAAACTATTCATTTCCCTAAAAAAAATACGTCTCTAATGTTTTTAAATTATCCACCAGAAGGACATTAACTCGTCGAGTACCGGTTTTGTAGACACAATTATAGAACAGTTTAAAATGAAAATTAGTCGTCTATCCTATTGCAAGTCGCGGTTAACTATAGTTCTGTAACTACAAAGTCTTTGTAAAACGACAGAGATGACACGATATTTAAGTACAACTTAAAATTGCCTTTCAGAATTCGGGCGTTAACAAATACATTTATTTTTTTAAAGGTGAAGTCACACACAACGGTTAAAACAACTAATTAAACACGCACAGCGAAAAAGAAAAGTTAAATTTATTTAGATAATCTCTAGATAATCTCTGTAGATATATGACACACAATAGAAAACGCATTGTATCTCGCGTAGATTTAGGTACGTTTCGACGTACCAGTGTTTAAAACAGGTAGCATTCATCAATTCCTCTCACAATACTTCAGGCATTCCGAAAATCTTCCATCTACTTGCAAACAGATCACTAGTTGGATTAGAACTGAATCAGTGAATAATTCGGTCAACCTTCGGTCAAGTAATATTGAAAACAACCAAGTCATGTCAGATACAAAATATATTTTTTAAAACCCCATCCAATCTCATGAAGCTCATGTCTTATCTACTCAAATATTTTGACAGGTACCCTAAACAACCCAGAGAAAGATAATAAAAAATATTATAACAACAAAATTTTCATATACCCTCGAAAAATATTAAAATGCTATCCTTTGCGGGTAGTTACACAAAGTGCCGGCTGTCTGTCAAGCGGGCTATCTGTCAGATCCACGTCGACCGTCCCACGCAGCGGTCGCCTCAGAGACACGCATCGTGCATTTAAATAATATTAATCACATTTTCCTATGGAGGATGGGCGTCGGGTACCTGTGTCTTCAACCCTTGTATAATTAAATCAGACTTACCACTGAGATGTTTGGGAAAATTTACATGTTATGGGAAAGTTTTGAGTGCTACCACGGTCCTCTGTACTTTGTGGGTGCTTAAGTTTGTATAATTATTACTCAAGTACCTACCTATAAGTATGAGAGCATTATTTGCTGTTCTCTAAGGTGATAATATTTTTAACCGACTTCAAAAAACAGGAGGTCGAAGTCGGTGTTTTTAAACGTAGTTTTTTAAGAATAATTTATTTTTAGTTTTTATTTAACGATCACCTTAACAAAACTGGCCAGGTTCGATTTTAAGGTATGTCTTTATTAAAAAGCATTCCGGGTATTCTGTATCATTAAAAAGTTTAGAATATATTGTGTCCAGGGTTTTTGAAGTCAGCCCTTTATCGCATCTCCCTAGGGATGTGCTGTAACAGGCGTTGCACCATACGAGCTCTGGAGCAGGTCTCCTCAGAGGACCCGGTGCCTCTTATAGAGGTATGTAGGTGGTGAGGGTGGCCACCGGGGTGGTTTTAGTGAGGTACAAATCCCACACTCCTTAGTCTTTCTCCCCAGAAAGCTAGGCGCCATTTGAAGGTTTCCCTCGTCATCAATGAAAGCTCTTTATATCAATGTAACCCACATAATATGATTATATCAAAATGTTTTGCCGTACCTACAGTAAAAAATACAGTTGTCGAGGGTTTAAAATCGTAATATCGATTCTAGATTTAACACAAAGCGCCCGCATTAATACGAAATCGTTATAAAACAATACGAAATACAAACAAACATTAAACTCGACCCGCATAAACTTCGTCTTCAAATTCTAAGTACTAAAATACAACTGACGGACAAATGGCTTATACCGATTGTATTTAAACAATTCCTATTGTTCTATTAATAACTGTTTGTAATTCTAATTATAAATTGAGGGCTAAGGTTAATGACATGGGTCTAATCTTGTATGAACATCACGCCATTTTTCCCCGAAAGAGTAGCCCTCTGGCTACTCATTACGGCACTTAATGTCTCTGTACAATGTAAGACCCACTTTTTACTATGTTATGAGTCCCATGTAATAGGCGGTGAGCCTATTGCCATATACCGGTCGCGGAGAACCTAACGGGTAACCGGGGCTCCGACTCGACGTGCTGGAGAAGGAACGGGGTGGTTTTTAGTCAGTAAGAGTCTGACACTCCCTTCCGCCTCACCCAGGCGGGAGCAGTCATTCGATGATTTTCCCCCCTTAAAAAAAAGTGCCGTATACCGGG